TGGCGTGTGTGCGCGCGCGTCCGCGCGTGTGTGCGTGTCAGTGTGTGTGTGTGTGTGTGCGTGTGCGTGTGCGTGTGCGTGTGCGTGTGCGTGTGCGTGTGCGTGTGCGTGTGCGTGTGCGTGTCAGTGTGTCAGTGTGTGTCAGTGTGCGTGTGCGTGTCAGTGTGTCAATGTGTCAAGGTGTGTGTGTGTGTGTCGTGCGTGTCTAAGGACCTCCTAGATGGGGTCCGGATAACGGAAAGAGCGAGGTACAAGTGATGACGTTCTTGTGTGTGGGGCGAAACCCTCTAGGGAGGGGTTCCAAGGGAGGGGCGAGGGCCGGGCGCAAAAGTATAATGGAGGTTTTCGGGTTTCCCTTCGGGTTTTTGTATGTTCTTCGGGTTCTCCCCTATTCCGTCCCAGAAGAGCCCAAGACCGCCCAAGACAGCCCCAAGACGTCCCAAGAGGCCTCCAAGACGCCCCAAGAAGCGCCCAAGAGGCGTCCCAAGAGGGCCCAACGAGGCCAACATCATCGATTTTCCTTCGGAAAACGTACATTTTTTGCATACACGGCTTTTCGGCTTTCAAGGCGTTGACGACGGCCCAAGAGGCCCCCAAGACCGCCCCAAGACGGCCCAAGAGGCTCCCAAGACGCCCCCAAAACGGCCCAAGAGGGCCCAAGAGAGCCCCAAGACGGCCCCAAGAGGGGGACCACGAACCGAAAAGTCTAGCCGTTCGCCCCAAGACGCTCCCAGGAGGCCCCAAGAGCCCCCCACGAAGCCCCAAGAGGCCACCAAGAGGCGTCCCAAGAGGCCACCAGGAGGCCACAATCATTGATTTCCTATAGGAAACCATACATGTTTAGCATACACGGCTTGTCGGCTTTCACGGCGTTGAAGACGGTCCAAGGGGCCCCAAAGACCGCCCCAAGAGGCTCCCAAGACGCCCCCAAAACGGCCCGAGAGGGCCCCAAGACAGCCCAAGAGGCGCCCAAGACGGCCCAAGAGGGCCCCAAGACGGCCCCAGGAGGGGGACCACGAACCGAAAAGTCTAGCCGTTCGCCCCAAGAAGATCCCAGGAGGCCCCAAGAACCCCCCACGAAGCCCCAAGAGGCCCCCAAGAGGCACCCAAAAGGGCTCGAAAAGGGCCCCAATAGGACTCCCAAGAAGGCCCAGAGACGCCAAATAAAGAGCGATCGGTAACGCAAAAAGCTCTTCACACCAAGGCTCCCAAAAGCGAACGGTGACGTAAACAAGCTGATAAGACCACGGCTCCCAGCAGAGAGCGGTGACGTAACAAGTTCCCGACACCAAGGCCCAGCCAAGGCTCAGGAACGGGCAGCAAAGCAACAATCCCTGAACACCAAGGCTCCCAAGAGCGAGGGGTGACGTAACAAGCTGTCAAGCCAAGGCTCCCAATACGAACGGTGGTATGAACAATTTCGGTTTCTGTTTCTGAAGCGCTCTTTCCGCTTCCGTGCCGGGCCCAGGTAGATGGGGTCGAAGGGTCGCGCCGCATCGCCGATGCATCGGCGATGCATCTGCGACGCATCGGCGATGCGTCGGCGACGTCGGCGATGCGTCTGCGCCGTCGGCGTGGGGAAAACCGAGCCCCACATCGAGCCGCGTCGCCGATGCCTCGGCGATGTGGCGCGATCCCCCGACACATCTGCTTCGACCTCATCTGGGAGGCCTGGAGTATCGTACGTGTGCATGTGTGTGGCTGTGCGCGCGCGCATGTACTTGGCGCAACTGAAGGGGCCCTGGGACACACAAATAAAGACACACAAATGAAAGGATTCCCTATGATAGTTTCCCATATTTTCTAGCGTTTTGGATTCCCCCCCACTTCCCATATTTTCCCATATTTTCTGGGGAATCGACGATTCATTGTGTCTGTGTGCTTTTTCCCCTCCTGAGCAACCTGTTTGTCTGTTGGCATGGCCGGCTTCTCTGCCGGCAGCGTTCGACCGACGGCCCAGGCCGGAGGGTCTGCCCCAAGCCACCCCCCCTCCCTTTGAAGCGGCACGCGCCTGCGCCCCGTCCGCACGGCGCAAGTTCAAGGGGCCCTGGGACACACAAACAAATACACACAAATTCAAGGATTCCCTATATTTTCCCATATTTTCTGGGTTTGTGTCTTCCCCCCCACCTCCCATATTTTCCCATATGTTCCTGGGAGTCGACGATTAATTGTGTCTGTGTGTTTTCTTCCCTCCTGACAAGTGCCGGGGCCGTCGCCAACTCTTGCCTTGCCGCACGCAGCCTTCCTGTCGCTGGCTCTCTCCGCCCGCTTGCTCGAGGCTCCCTTCCGGCGTCCTCCCCTCGCGCCGGCTCCCTGCTGCCGTCTCGAGGCAGAGCACGCCAGCCTCTGCTCTCGCTGTCTCTGCATCGCAAGTGCTTTTCTGCTGGCATGGCTGGCTTCCGCCGGCGGCGACCGGCCGCCTGACTCGGCCTTGGGATTGCCCCCCCATACATTCAAGGCGCCCTGGCCTGCACCTTTCTTTGGCGGCGCGCAGGAGGGGGTAGGGGGAGGGGGGAAGGCTCCTTAGAAGGAGGCTGCTTCTCAGAAGGCGCCGACCTTGCACTTGCAGAGGGGGCCCGCGCCTTCTGCGAAGCAGGGGTGCTCCTAAGACGCCTCCCCCCCTCCCCCTTGCCCCCCTCTGCGCGTGGACGACTTCTGCTGGCATGGCTGGCTTCCGCCGGCGGCGAGCGGCCGCCCGACTCGGCCTTGGCCCCCCACATATCCAGGGCACCCTGGCCAACGCTTTTCTCCTCGGGTGGCCAGGCCCCCCCCCCCCCCCTCTGGCACGGCGCACGCCTGAACCTCGTCTTTGCTGCGCAGGCGCCGGGGCTGGCGCTGGCTTTGTTGTTCCCATCGTACTCAGGACCAGATTCCCGAAATAGCTTCGAGCACCCAAAAAAGGATCGAACGAACATCGCCTCCCAAGGCCCGACACGCAAAAACCCTCCAGTTTCGGTACTTTCTTTGTGCTCGAAGTTCTTTCTGGTAATCAAAGCTAAAATAGGTTGGAATATCATAACGCTGACTGCTTCTTTGCCACGCCCAGTCTGCACGTCGCTCCCTCTCCGCCCGCTTGCTGGAGGTCCCTCCCCTGAGCTTTCTCTTGCTCTTGCTCGCTGGCTATCGTTTGGGTACAGCCCCGCGATACGGTTAGACATGAGACAGAAGAACATCCTTCAAGAGCATGAGACCCTCCGCCGAGGGTACCCTCCCCCTACGATGCGCAAAACATCGAACAACCACGAACAACATCAGGGTGCCCCCCCCGAACTGACCTCGATCTTATACCTCGGTCTGGTCGTACTCCTCCTCCTCCTCCTCCTCCTCCTCCTCCTCCTCCTCCTCCTCCTCCCTTCGCGCCTATTCGCCCCGGCGGCCCAGCGTGCGCCCTCGGGGGGACTGTGGCTGCCAGCCACGCCACGCCCACGCCGCGGTCAGAGCTCCTCGGTCCGACGGCTGGCCCCTCGCCCTCTGCCTGAGCGCAGGCGCCCTGCCCAGCACCCTCACTCCGAGCTCGCGTTGCTTGCACCTGTGGAGGGGCCCCGGGACACACAAATAAATGCACACAAATAAGAGTCTTCCCCATATGTTTCCATATCTTCTGGGATGTTTGTCTTCCCACCCCCACTTCCCATAGTTTCCCATATTTTCGGGGGAATCGACGATTAATTGTGTCTGTGTTTTTTCCCCTCCTGAACTTGCCACTTCGTCCTCGCAGTTCGGCTGCTGGCCGCTTTACTTGTTTTCTGTTCGGCCGGCGGCGGGCGCACTGGTGCTACGCCGGGCCTGACAGTGGGCAGCGTGACATCGTCTCCCGGCTTTCTCTGTTTACTGGTGCTTTCCCTTTCCACTGTGTGCTACTCGCGCTCGAGCTGGTCGCCTTCACAACTGGACGGCTTCATGCTGCATTCTTTCAATGGCCAATGCATTAATGTTGCACCGGCTGTTGTCACCTCGCACCCTTACGAGGGCTGCGATGGAGCGGGCGTTTTTTTGTTTGGCGTTTCGACATTGGGCGGGAGGGGGGGAGGGGGGGTCTGGCTCCAGAGCTCTGCTTAATGGCGTCTGTTTGCAACAGTGCGTCCTGTGGGGGAGACTCCACCTGCTCGAAACAGGTGACAAAAAAACAGCCAAGATCTCTCCATAGGGGGGGGGGGGAGAGGGGGTGCGAGGGCCCGCGCCGATCGGCAAAAAAATAATAAAAAAACGGTCGCATTGGAGGTCGATGCATCCCCCCTGAGCATGTCATGTTCCCCCCCAACCTTGCCCCTGATCTTCGCATTCGACCGTGCTCCTCGCAGAGTGGTTTTCGCGTCATAGCTCGGCTCTCTGGCTGCTGTTCGGGACGATCCGGGCACCTCCAGAACGCTCTCAGCGAGGCGCAACCGCTGGCGGGCATAATTACCGAGGCTGGGAAAAGCCGACGACATTCCACAAAAACGCTCAAAAGTCTCGAACCTCGATCCCCCGCCGTTTCTGCCAGCCCTCTAGTCGCTGCCCATGACATGTCCCAACAGGGCCTGCAGGGGAGAGGCGATCCCCGCCTGCACGTCGAAGGCGTCATGCGCCCTCCGGTTCGGCTGCAGCACCAGGGACGCCGCCTGCATGACCTTCCGTCGGGCCGCCCATGCCGTCGGAGCCGCCGCTGTCGACGCCGTCGGCGTCGGACGTCGTCGTCGGTCGCCGGTCCTCCCTTTGCGTAGTTCGTCGCTCGCAGTGGCCGCGGTCGTCGCCGTCGGCGGTGGTCGTCGTCCTCGCAGTCGTCCGTTCGTGTTGATCGACGCCGACATCATCGTCGACGTCGGTCGTCCTCGTCGTTCTCGGCCTCGTCGGCTGTCGTTCGTCCTCGTCGACGTCGTCGTTGACGTCGGTCCTCCTGGACGTCCTTGTCGTCGTCGACTGTCACCGTCGTCGTCGTTGTCGTCGTCGTGGTCGTTTGCCGCCCTCGTCCTCGTCGTCGTCGGTCCTCCTCGCTGTCGACGTCGTTGTCGTCGTCGGTCGTCGCTCTCCCCTGCTGCGCCTCCTCCTCCCTCCTCCCCAAGAGGCGGGGGCGGAGAGAACGCTCGCGCGGCACATGTCCTCAACTGGCTCTGCGGAACTTAGCGGGGCAGAGCTTGAAAGTCGGTGGAGCTAAACGCACCAAGCCGATCTAAACAGTTCGGTCCCTCGGCCGATTTTGATAGAATGCCGGATCGTGGACCTTGGAACGTGATTACAGGCACCGTGGTCAAGACCAAGCGTTCGAGGCCTGTCGGGGGGCCAGCTAGATCAGAGCCCGCGCTCGCCAGCAGACAATGCCCGATGCTTGAAGCTGTGCTTTCCCGCAGCACGATACCTCAGCGTCCCAGCAGTCCGCTCAGACCCTGGCGTCGAGACCCTGGGACATGCGGACGACGATCGAGTTCAGCGTCGTGCTGGGATTCATCGCCGCGTCGGCCTTGGCCTTGTCGAGCTTGTAGTAGCCGCCGATGTCCATCGGCTTGCCCTGACAGTCGATGAGCTCCTGGAGGACCTTCTCCTCGCTGCTGGCCAGGTCAGACGCAAAACTCGCGAATGTTGCCGCCAGGCCGGCGTCCGCGCTCTGCTTCGCCAGCTCCTCGGCCCAGTAGCGCGCCACCCAGTAATGGCTGCCGCGGTTGTCGATCTCCTTCACCTTCCGCGAGGGGTTCTTGTTCGCGACCAGGAAGGTGCCAACGGCCTTGTCGAGGGCGTCGGCCAGGGCCTTGGCCTTGGGGTTGTTGACCCCGAGGTCCGTGAACGCGCACGAGAGTGCCAGGTACTCGCCCAAGGAGTCCCAGCGGAGGTGGCCTTCCTTGACAAACTGCTGCACGTGCTTGGGCGCAGAACCACCAGCGCCGGTCTCGTACATGGCACCGCCAGCGAGCATGGGCACAATGGAGAGCATCTTCGCGGACGTGCCGAGCTCCAGGATGGGGAAGAGGTCGGTCAAGTAGTCCCGGAGGACATTGCCAGTCACCGTGATGGTGTTCAGGCCGTCCCTGGCGCGCTCGCAGGTTACGCGCGTGGCCTGCATCGGCGACATGACCTCGATGTCCAAACCCTCAGGACTGAACTCTGGCAAATACTTCTTGACCTTCTCCATCAAGATCACGTCGTGCGCGCGAGCCGGGTCGAGCCAGAAGATCGCCTTGCACGGCTTGTCATTGTTCGGGAAGTTGTTGGCGCGGCACCTGTTCACCGCCAGTTTAACCCAATCCTTGATGGGAGCATCCTTCGTCTGGCATGAGCGGTAAATATCGCCAGCGGCCACCTTGTGTCCCATCAGGACCTGCTCGGCCCCGTTGACGACGATGCAGACAGTTCCTGGCTTCTTGATCTCGAAGGTGCACGGGTGCGAGCCGTATTCCTCTGCCTTCTGTGCCATGAGGCCCACATTGGGGCAGGCGCCCATGGTCTTGGGGTCGAAAGCACCGTGCTTCTTGCAGAATTCGACCACTTCGTGGAATACGACAGCATACCCTCGATCGGGAATAGCGGCCACAAAGTCCTGTTCCTTGTCGTCCTTGTTCCACATCTTCCCGCCGCCACGGATTGCCGTCGGCATCGAATTGTCAATAATGACGTCGCTGGGCACATGCAGGTTCGTGATACCCTTGTGGGAGTCCACCATGGCCATGTCCCCGCGCTTGGCATACGTCGCCATGATGTCGTTCTCGATGGCCTTGCGTTCGGGCTCTGGCAACGACGCGATTTTCTTGTACACGTCACCCAAACCGTTGTTGGCGTCAACGCCGAGCTTGGCGAACGTCCCGCTGTGCTTCGCAAACACGTCCTTGAAGTAGACCTTCACGCAGTGCCCAAACATGATCGGGTCGGACACCTTCATCATGGTGGCCTTGAGGTGCAGCGAGAAGAGCACCCCGGACGCCTGAGCCTCCTGGATGGCCTGCTCGTAGAAGGCGCACAGCGCCTCGCAGTCCATGAAGGTGCCGTCCACCACATCTCCGGCCTTGAGCGGCAGCTCCTCCTTCAGCACGGTGGTCGTTCCGTCGTCGGCCCGCAGCTCGATCCGCGCGGTGCAGGGCGCCTCCACGGTGACGGAGCGCTCGTGCGAGTAGAAGTCGCCGTCCTTCATGCTCCGCACGACCGTCTTCGAGCTTGCATCCCACTTGCCCATGGAGTGCGGGTACCGGAACGCGTACTCCTTCACCGGCACCGCCGCACGCCGGTCGGAGTTGCCCTCCCTCAGCACCGGGTTGACCGCGCTCCCGAGGACCTTGCCGTAGGAGGCCTTGATGCTCTTCTCGCGGTCGTCCTTGGGCTCTTCAGGGTAGTCGGGCACGGCGAACCCCTTGTCCTGCAGCTCCTTGATGCACTCCTTCAGCTGCGGCACGGAGGCGCTAATGTTCGGGAGTTTGATGATGTTCGCCTTCCCACTCTGGGCCATGAGGCCGAGCTCGGTCAGGGTGTCGGCCGTCTTCTGGTCCTCCTGAAGGCAGTCAGGGAACTGCGCAAGCACGCGGCCTGCAACCGAGATGTCCTTCAGCTCCAAGGCGACGCCCGCGTGTCCGCAGAATGCCTTCACGATTGGGAAGAAGGCGTGCGTGGCGAGCATCGGGGCCTCGTCCGTGTACGTGTACATGATGGTCGTGGGGTCGCCAGCTGGCGCCGCGGAGCCCTTCGACTGGGAGCCTCCCATGGTTCTCTGGTCAGGTCCACTCGAGACAGGAACAAGGTCGCGAGGGAAGACCCAAGAAAGAAGCGTGCTCGAACCAAAACGACTACGGAGGCGAGGAGGGAGAGACGGAGAGGGACCCCCCCCAGAAAAAAACCGGTCGAACTACAATTTTTAGGGGGTTGTGTCCCCCAGGCGCACCCCCAAGAGACATTAATAATTACCCTGACGAAGGACCCTACCATATGCAGCTGTGAGTACCGCCGGTGTGAAAACACGCCTTCGGTGGAGCTCACTACGGGGCCCCGAAACGCGTGAAGGGAGCGCCGAAATAAGACGGGGCCGCCTTGGGGGCGTTGCCGCTGGGGCCGCCCGCAAGGGTTTCGGAGGTCAGACGAAACAGGTCACATGCTGCTGTAACCCGTTGCGGCTGCCAGGCACTAAGTGAGGCGGGAGAAGACATGCGGGCGCGGCATGCGAACGCAGCCAGTGGGGCCTTCGGTGGAGCTCCCCATCGGGCCACGGAACGTGTGCAGGGTGTGCCAAAGTGATGGGGGGTGGCGGCATGCGAACACAGCCAGTGGCACCTTCGGTGGAGCTCCTCATGGGGCCACGAAACGGTTGAGGGGTGTACCAAAGTGAGGGGGGTGGCGGCATTTGAGCGCAGCCACTCAGGCTTTAGGTGTAGCTCCCTATGGGGCCACGAAACGTGAAAGGGGTGCGCCACAGTGAGGTGGTGGCGGCATACGAACGCAACCACTGAGGCCTTAGGTGTAGCTCCCTATGGGGCCGCGAAGCGTGTGATGGGTGTGCCACAGGGAGGGGGTGGATGCATACGAACGCAACCACTGAGGCCTTGGTGTACCTCCCTATGGGGCCGCAAAACGTGTGAGGGGTGTGCCACAGTGAAGGGGTGGCCAGTGCCGAACAGGTTGACATACGGAGGGCAAAGGCAAGGGTAGGCAAGGGTGGGAGGAGGGAGGAGCGAGAGGAGGAGGAGGAGGAGGAGAAGCAAAGGAGGAGAGGAGTGGAGTGGACGCGGGGAATGTCTTTTCTAAATGAGGACCCAACACCACAAGATGGTTGGGAACAATTTCACCACGTGCAAGAAGTCCTACGCTGAGCCATGAAATCTACGGAATGGCGGTGCCATGCTGCAGTCTGCGCTTGTCTGCTGAGGGCCGTAGAGATTCCAGGTGCGCCGAAGAGCGACCCCACCGAGCGGGTGATCCAGGAAAGGCCTTCGGGGGCAACCTATCTTCGGGTATCTGGAGAGCAAATCTCGCATGTAGCCGTAGCGGCCGGCATGGACTCGAAGAGGGGGGCCAGGAAGAAGGGGGGTCAGCGCATCATTGCCTGAGGCATGTGCGTGGCCGAACAGGGGTGGCCAGGGGGGCGTGTCAAACGAATAGGAGTGCTGGGGAGGGGCCACTCCTACAGGGGACTGCCATTTCGAGCCCCCTGCCGCGAGACGCCCATGACTGCCCACGCAACACCTCAAGGAAACTACCACCACCCATCAGCGCCGCAATGGCAACGAACATGTGGGCAAACGCCCACGATGGAATAGCCTGGGCCGGCGGAATGAGCGAAGCGATCCGCCGCCCCACCGGGCACGGCGTGTGAGATCCCCGCCGCATGGTCTGCAAAGGATTCATTCCCCTCAATAATCTTACATACTCACTCTTCGTATCCAGAAAAGAAAAATCGAACCCCCTCCTGAGGTCCTCCCCGCGGCCTGCTCACTCGGCCGGCCTAGGGGCCACGGCTGCGGACTGGGCGTCCGCTGGCCGCCATCTGATTCCCGCACCTTCGCGCAGGACACCTCTGGACGCCCCCAGGCGTCATTTGTGGCCTCTCTGGAGGCCCTCCTTTGGAACCTCTTGGAGCCCCATTGGGCTCTTAGGCTCACTTGGTGGAGCCGTCTCGGACACCCCCCGCCTCCAGTTTTTAAATTCGCCGGCCCAACGGGCCAGAGGCGTGCTAAGATCTCCGGTAACTGGTTAACAATAACTCTATACTTCGCGCGCGCGGAGCGGCCCCTGGGGGTCCCCGGCCGGAAAGCACCCCGGCAAGGTCCCGGGACACTCCCGGCAAACTCAGTTCAGAGATGGTTTTCCTCCTGGGTGCGGCCTTCCACGCTCCCCGGAGCGCGCCAAGAGGGCCCCAACAGGCTTCCAAGACGGTCCAAGAGGGTTCCGAATCACCGAACGATCGGCCCAAGACGCCCAACACGGCCTCAAGACGGCCCAAGAAGCTTCCAAGACGTCCCAAGAGAGCCCCGACCCTTTGCAAGAGAGCCCCAAGAGGCCAAAATCATGGATTTCCATTGGGTTTTTCAAGGCTTTTGGCTTCCTCGCCATTTTGCATTTCCGAAGCTCCAAGACGGCCCAAGAAGCCTCCAAGACCACCCCAAGACGGCCCAAGAGGCCTCCAAGAGAGCCCCAAGACCGCCCAAGAGGGCCCCACGACAGCCCAAGAGGCGCCCAAGACGGTCCAAAAGGACCCCAAGAGGGCCCCAAGAGGGACCCAACATGGAGACCACGAACCGAGAATCCGAGCCTTCCGCTCCAAGAGGCCGCCTGGAGGCTCCAAGAGGCCCCCAAGAGGCCCCAAAAGGCGACAAGGGGCCCGAAAGAGACCCCAAGAGGCTCGACAATGACTCCCGAGAGTCTCCAAGAAGCCCTCGAGAGGCATCCAACGAGATCCAAATGAACGTCCACGAAGCCTCAGAGCGCCAAAACCATTGATTTCCGTTGGGTTGTTCAAGGCTTTTGGCTTCCTCGCCTTTTCGCGTTTCCGAAGCTCCAAGACGGCCCAAGAAGCCTCCAAGACCACCCCAAGACGGCCCAAGAGGCCTCCAAGAGAGGCCCACGACCGTCCAAGAGAGCCCCACGACAGCCCAAGAGGCGCCCAAGACGGTCCAAAAGGACCCCAAGAGGGCCCCAAGAGAGGCCCAAGATGGAGACCACGAACCGAAAATCCGAGCCTTCCGCTCCAAGAGGCCTCCTGGACGCCCCAAGAAGCTCCTAAGAGGCCCCAACAAGCGACAAGGGACCCGAAGAATGCAAAAAGAACACTGCAGAATGTTGTCTTGTTCCCTGCGATCGTATTCACGAGCCGCCACCTTCCGAAACAGAAGGCTCAGGCGGGCAAACAGTGGTTCCCGCCTGCGAATCACCCAAAGCGAGCCATCCATAAACAAAAAAACTACCCAGCAGCACCCCATTGACAACGATCACACGGGCACTCGACAACCGTGCACCAATACGGGCCGGCGGAATGAGCGAAGCGATTAGATAAAGGAGAGCGGGGGTCTGCGGACCCCGATACTTATCGAGGCTCCGACATTGGGTGTGTGCTGTCTTCGAGCGGACATGAACGCAACGCACTTTTTCAAGTGGACTTGGGACTTTATATTGCGTTTTCAAACATCGAGCGGAGATTCGATGGCCTTCTTCGACCATGGCACCGGGGGCACTGGACACACAACTAAGAGAGAACCCTGGGCCGACGCCCTTTCCAGGAGTGTGGCCTCTTCAAGAGCCAGACTATTGTCCAAGTGCTCTGCGCCTTGGGCTTCTGGGCAAGGAAGCGCGAAACTCCGAGACGCAGAGGATGTGATGTAGAAGTCTGGCCCGCGTTCACGGATCCAGCGGGTCCTGAGGGAAACGGGCCCTGGACCCTGGAATATTCCCCGGCATACAATGGAGGCCAATCCACAAGAGACCCTCCACAAGAAACCCAACCCTGAGACCACAGGACGTCCACGGATATGTGGTGTGGGAACGTCGCGCCTTCCACAGCAAAACCATCGAAACCCAAGAAACCGAGGGTGCCCTGGAGGCAATCAAGGTGTTTCTTGGCATGGCCCCCCACTGTAAGCTTTTCTTCCACGGTCGCTTTCAAACAGTCCAGACCGTGGAATGCCAGAGGATGTTCAGTGCGAGAACGCCACGCTTTCAACAGCAAAGCCAGCGCAACCCAAGAAATCCAGGGCACCCTGGAGGCAAGCAGGGTGTCTCTTAGCACGGGCCCCCGCTGCACCACCGGTGATGACACTGTGCCAGGGGCTGTGTTTTTCGGGAGACTCTCCAGGGGGGGGGGATCCCATGGGATCCCTCCCCTGGGATCCTATCCCCCCATGGGATCCCCCCCGAGTGTGGTGCATCCTCGGCAGCTCGAAAACGTCGTTTGTCCTTACTATGCGCGTTGACTGTATTGCATCCTGTCTTGAGGTGGTCGCGAGCTGCCAAGGGCACCAAATCCGATGCTCGAAGCTGCCAAGGGCACCAAATCCGAAGAGTCTCCCGAGGTGTTGTGCTGCTCGGCGGTGTGCCGCGCCGCACCGCGGGGGTTGCCCGGGGACGCGCCACCGTGCGTGCCGGTCGACGTGCCAGCGCGCTGCGCGCTGTGCCAGGGGGGCGCGCCGCGGGACCTGCCCTGACCTGTCCTCGTCCTCCTCCTCCTCCTCCTCCTCCTTCTCCTCCTCCTCGTCCTCCTCCTCCTCCTCCTCCTCCTCCTCCTCCTCCTCCTCCTCCCTAGCTGATTTAGGTCTTAGGCTCGAGCTGCCCGACGGCACAACTCGCCCCGAGCTAAGATCAAGTCGACGTAGGGGGGCCGCAGGCGAACCCTACCCCATACCCCCCACGATTTCTGAGGGGGAGGGCGGGGTTCACTTCGCTCGGGAGCTCCCGGTCGAGGTGAACCCCTCCCTCCCCCTCAGAAATCGTGGGGGGCAGGGGTAGGGTTCGCCTGTGGCCCCCCTACGAAGGTCGCACACGAGACAACCAACTCGAGCTCAAGATCCGACTCGGTTCCGAAGCGGGGCGAAGACGATACGGGGCGCACGGCGCATGGACGCGCCACGCCACGTGTCGGGGGCGCACCAGGGGAGTGCTGGGGACAAGCGTTTCGCTCGAGACATCCGGTCAAAACCCTCAGAATTCCTGCGCGCGGGACGCGGCACGCGCGAGACATCCTCGAATTCCTACGAGCGGGACGTGAAAACAAGCATTTCGCCTGAGACATCCTCTGAATTCTGGCCCCCCACGAAGCCTCCGCTCGAGACATCCTCCAATTTTGCAAAACCAGCGCTTCGCTCGAGACATCCTCAACAAACTATGTAACAAAAGCGTTTCGCTCGAGACATCCTGCCAAAATTCTAAGACATCCTGACAAAACAAACGAATTAGTCGAGACATCCTCAAAATTCCTGCGCGCGGGACGCGGCACGCGCGAGACATCCTCGGAATTCCTGCGCGCGGGGCGCTTTTCCGCGTCGCGGTCGGGGCTCCAGACCCCGTTCTTTGTCGAGGATTCTGCGAAAAACGCTCTGCACCCTCTTTTTTACGAATAAAAACGAAGGTCTGCGGACCCCGTTTCTTATTAAGGATCCGAGATGGGGGGGGCAGTTTCCTCGAGCGGGCACGCACGAAACGCACTTTTTCGACTGAAAATCAGCACTTTACTTCGGTATTTACGCAGAATAATTTCGCCGGCCCTCTTCCCGTCAGATCCGGGGGTAAACCTACTAAAAGAGAACCCTGGGCCCCCGCCCTCTCCGGGAAAAAATGAAAATGATCGACCCACGAACCCGGAAAGGAATATAGAAATGTAAGACATGGCAACGATTCAAAGACACCTGATTGGGCGACGGGCAACTGCAATGATGAAGGTATCGATATTGATGTACCGTGCCGAGGGCTGTGCTGTGCTGCGCCGTGCTGAATTACGATGTGCCATGCCGCCATTGTGCTCTATATAGCGTTGTGGACCGAGTCCTCCTTTGCATCCGAGTGCTGACCGAACTGATCTGGATCTTAAGCTCGAGCTGCGCACATAGTAGCTGCCCCAGACCTCATTGACAGGGGGACATGCCAGGGGGACGCGCCGCGGAACGTCCCAAGGGACAGGCCTGGCCACGTGCCAGGGGACGTGCCATGGGGACGCGCCGCGGGACGTGCCGAGGGGACGCGCTACGGAAGGTGCCACTGGACGTGCCACGGGACGTGCCAGGGGACACGCCGCGCGACGTGCCAGGGGGACTCGCCACGGGACGCGCCACGGAACGTGCCAAGCTGCAATGCTGAGTGTATCGATCTTGATGTACCTTGCCGAGGGCTGTGCTGTGCTGCGCCGTGCTGAATTACGATGTGCCATACTGCGATTGTGATCTATAGCGTTGTGGACCGAGTCCTCCTTTGCTTCCGAGTCCTGACCGAACTGATCTGGATCTTAAGTTAATTCTTAAGTTCGAGCTGCCTGAGCACATAGTAGCTGCCCCAGAGCTAATTGACAGGGGGATATGCCAGGAGAACGCGCCGCGGAACGTCCCGAGGGACGCGCCAGGCGACATGCCAAGGGACGTGCCATGGGGATGCACCGCCCGACGTGCCAAGGGGACGCGCTACGGAACGTGTCAATGGACGTGCCACGGGACGTGCCATCCTCAACACATCCTCATGCTAAACATCTGCCTGGGCAACCTGGACGCGTGAAACCAAGCGTCTTGCTCGAGACATCCTCAAGACCTGGGCACGTGAAAACAAGCATTTCACTTGAGAGATCCTCTGAATTCTGGTCCCCAGGAGAGGACAATCTAAGGAACACGTGGCAAGAACTGTTCGAAACGAGTCAAACAAAAAGGTAGAGCCATCGTCCCATGACCGTTTTGTTAACCATCTTTGGATATTCCCCCTGTAGAGCGAGCGAACGAGCGGACGAGCGCGCGATGACGGTCCAGCGGGACCGGCCATAGGAGGGCGGCGCGGGGGGGCCGGAGCCCTCAGTGGTCGCACTGGGACTGGCGGTCGATCTGGATGAAAGTGGTGTGAGACGTAAGAAATTTTTGGACGTCTGGTGCATTCTGGAGTCCAATTGGTGGAGGTGAGACTTGAGGAGGGACCGACCGTCCCGGCATTCCTAGTCATACCACGACATGTTCTTAGAACCCGAAGATGTTCCAAGAACAAACACAGTGTTCTTATAACATAAGCCCGATGTGTTGAAACAACACCGTCCCAGCCAGAAATGTTCTAAGAACATTTCGTGGAAACCACAAAGAGTTCTTAGAACATTGGGGCTATAGGCGAGCTGGGACGCTTCGCCACTGCTTGAGAGAGGGACTTGCCCGACTTGCCCCTGGCGGGCTGAACGCACATCCGCACCAGCATTCCCAGACGGCGCGGGCGCGAATCTTCACGAGACCGGGCCCCCTCGCCCTCCTCAACCTCCTCCCCCTCCCTATCCTCCTCCCCCTCCTCTTCTCCCTCTTTCCTTTCCTCCTCGTCCCTCTCCCCCTTCCCTTTTTTCGTCGCCCCTAGATTTCGCGCCCGCGCCGTCTGGGAGGACCCGGGGCCCCCGGACCGCGACCCCGTGGGCCGCAGGGGGCGCCCTCCTCGCGGGCTCCCTGCGCGGAGCGCGTGCGTGCGACCGCGCACCCCACGAGATCGCGCTCCCGGCATCCAGGCCGCGTGGGCACGGATGCCGTCGGCCGCAAGAAAGAGGCACACGGAAGCACGAAGCAGGACGGCGTCGGAAAAAGATTGGGTTCCGTCCGCCCCCGAAGGAGGACGGGAAGGGCGAGGCCACTCGATCATTGAAATGGAAAGGCGCTCGAAGTCGATTGGAATCTGGGAATCCAAAAAATACCTACTTTCAACGGCCGATGGACACGTTCGCCGCTCGTGAGATCCTGCCCGATCCGACCCTGTGGTCGGTCGGTGCTCGTGTCAGCGCCAGTGCTAATGCTAGGGGCCTCCCAAGCTGGGGTCCGAGCAGATGGACTCGGAGGATCGCGCCGCATCGCCGATGCACCCTCGGCGACGTCGGCGATGCGTCGGCGACGTCGGCGATGCGCGCCGTCGGCGTGGAGGAAATCGGGCTCCACGTCGAGCCACATCGGCGATGCCTTCGCGATGCGGCGCACAGTTCTCCGACCCCATCTGCTCGGACCCCCTGTGGGGCTCTAGAGATGCAGCCACAGCCGCGCCTGTCGGCACCAACGCTGGCCAGCGCGTCTGCCGAGCCGTCGGCACCACACCGCGGCGAACCTGCCGGCGCACACCCCCCGCCCGACGCCAGATCCTGCCAGGCCCGACCCCGTGCCCCAGACTAAAACAGGGCTAAGATCGGGATAAATCGCTCCAGAGCGTTCCGGAGCGCTCTCAGAGCGTTCCGGAACGCTCTGGAGCGGCCGCGGCGCCCAATACATCCTCCAAACCCGCCGATTCTCAGAGATTTCGAGTTATCCCGATCCGATTTTGCCCCGATCTTCGCGTCGTTTTACAGACCCTCGGGGGCTCCCACACGGGGTGGTGAACACACCGCGCGGTGAGTCAGTGGGGGCTCGAAGTCACCGCTTGGTTCGGGGACTTGGGCCGTGCTCCGGGGACACCTCGGGTGACCGGGGCCTCCCGGGCCCCAGGACCGTGCGGTGGCGGTGGCGGGCTGCGCAGTGAGGCCTCTCGGGATTGCGAGGTCACCGCCCAGTCCGTCACCACACGGTGCTGGGGCTCCCGAGACCCACCCTTTAACGGGCGAAGAACGGTATCAAATAGACTTTTTCGCTGTCGGGGACACCTGCCCCTGGGCGGCTGGAAAGTTAAAACCCTTACGGTGGCACTGTAGGGGTCTAAACTTTCCAGCCGCCCAGGGGCAGGTGTCCCCGACAGCGAACAAAAAAAATGTTATACCGTTCTTCGCTCGCTGAACCCTGGCCCACTGCTGGGCCCTCCAGTCGGGAGGATCGAGATAGGTCCGGAGAGAGTGGGCACAACGACCGACGGCATCCTCTGCTCATTTTGAGCAGGATTCGCTGTCGGTGCCGCCGCGGGCCATGTCCACTTGAGACAGCAGGCCGCCTGCCCAACAAAGGCCGCTGCTGGAGTCGGACAACCATTGTCGTGGAGCATCGTGCCACTTTTCTTCCGTACAGGAGTGACTACCTACCAAACCACCCCAACCCAACCCGAAGACCCGATTTTCGGGTTGGGGGGGGGTAAGGGTTCCACGCGTGTTTTTTCGAGGTTTCCCGACCCCCCCAACTAGAAATCGAGGGTAAATCTGAACCTTCGGGTTGGGTTGGGGTGGTTTGGTGGGTGGTGAAGGAGGGGCCCGACCACAAGAAACCCTCCACAGGAAACCCAGCCCTGAGAGCCAGGACGTCCGTAGAGCTGTGGAGTGGGGACATCGCCTCCCGCAGCAAAGTCATTGAAACCCAGGGAACCCAGGGCACCCTGGAGGCAAGCAGGGTGTCGCTTGGCATGGTCTCCACCGTAGCCCTCCAGGGCCAGAGCCCGACCCTGAATCCCCCTGCGGCGCGCACAGGGAAGGGGAGGAGGAGAAGGATGAGGAGGAGGAGGAGGAGGAGGAGGACGAGGAGGAGGAGGAGGACGAGGAGGAGGGACGTTCGCGCGCGCACCCTCCACTGGTCCTGCCGAACTCGGCGGGGCAGAGCTGGAAGGTCGGTGGAGCTAAATGCACCAAGCCGATATCATCTAAACAGTTCGGCCCCTCGACCGATTTTGAAAGAACGCCCGAGGCGCACGAGCCACGCGGCATCCAGCAGATCTAGCAGCACCTGGCCCCTCACAGGAGCCCACCCAAAACTCGGAGAAGCTGCTCAGATGTCGTTCCACGGTCGCGGATCTTGGAAAATGATTGCAGGCACCGCGGTCAAAAATTAGCCTTCGAGGCCTCTGGCAGGGCCAGCTACATTAGAGCCCGCCCGCGTCGTGGTGACATCGCCAGCAGACTGAGCCCGATGCTTGAAGCTGTGCTTTCCCGCAGCACGATACCTCAGCGTCCCAGCAGTCCGCTCAGACCCTGGCGTCGAGACCCTGGGACATGCGGACGACGATCGAGTTGAGCGTCGTGCTGGGATTCATTGCCGCGTCGGCCTTGGCCTTGTCGAGCTTGTAGTAGCCGCCGATGTCCATCGGCTTGCCCTGACAGTCGATGAGCTCCTGGAGGACCTTCTCCTCGCTGCTGGCCAGGTCAGAAGCAAAACTCGCGAATGTTTCCGCCAGACCGGCGTCCGCGGTCTGCTTCGCCAGCTCCTCGGCCCAGTATCGCGCCACCCAATAGTGGCTGCCGCGGTTGTCGATCTCCTTCACCTTCCGCGAGGGGTTCTTGTTCGCGACCAGGAAGGTGCCAACGGCCTTGTCGAGGGCGTCGGCCAAGGCCTTGGCCTTGGGATTGTTGACCCCGAGGTCCGTGAACGCGCACGAAAGTGCCAGGTACTCGCCCAAGGAGTCCCAGCGGAGGTGGCCTTCCTTGACAAACTGCTGCACGTGCTTGGGCGCAGAACCACCAGCGCCGGTCTCGTACATGGCACCGCCAGCGAGCATGGGCACAATGGAGAGCATCTTCGCGGACGTGCCGAGCTCCAGGATGGGGAAGAGGTCGGTCAAATAGTCCCGGAGGACATTGCCAGTCACCGTGATGGTGTTCAGGCCGTCCCTGGCGCGCTCGCAGGTTACGCGCGTGGCCTGCATCGGCGACATGACCTCGATGTCCAAACCCTCAGGACTGAACTCTGGCAAATACTTCTTGACCTTCTCCATCAAAATCACGTCGTGCGCGCGAGCCGGGTCGAGCCAGAAGATCGCCTTGCACGGCTTGTCATTGTTCGGGAAGTTGTTGGCGCGGCACCGGTTCACCGCCAGCTTAACCCAATCCTTGATGGGAGCATCCTTCGTCTGGCATGAGCGGTAAATATCGCCAGCGGCCACTTTGTGTCCCATCAGGACCTGCTCGGCCCCGTTGACGACGATGCAGACAGTTCCTGGCTTCTTGATCTCGAAGGTGCACGGGTGCGAGCCGTATTCCTCTGCCTTCTGTGCCATGAGGCCCACATTGGGGCAGGCGCCCATGGTCTTGGGGTCGAAAGCACCGTGCTTCTTGCAGAATTCGACCACTTCGTGGAATACCACAGCATACCCTCGATCGGGAATAGCGGCCACAAAGTCCTGTTCCTTGTCGTCCTTGTTCCACATCTTCCCGCCGCCACGGATTGCCGTCGGCATAGAATTGTCAATAATGACGTCGCTGGGCACATGCAGGTTCGTGATACCCTTGTGGGAGTCCACCATGGCCATGTCCCCGCGCTTGGCATACGTCGCCATGATGTCGTTCTCGATGGCCTTGCGTTCGGGCTCTGGCAACGACGCGATTTTCTTGTACACGTCACCCAGGCCGTTGTTGGCGTCAACGCCGAGCTTGGCGAACGTCCCGCTGTGCTTCGCAAACACGTCCTTGAAGTAGACCTTCACGCAGTGCCCAAACATGATCGGGTCGGACACCTTCATCATGGTGGCCTTGAGGTGCAGCGAGAAGAGCACCCCGGACGCCTGAGCCTCCTGGATGGCCTGCTCGTAGAAGGCGCACAGCGCCTCGCAGTCCATGAAGGTGCCGTCTACCACATCTCCGGCCTTGAGCGGCAGCTCCTCCTTCAACACGGTGGTCGTGCCATCGTCGGCACGCAGCTCGATCCGCGCGGTGCAGGGCGCCTCCACGGTGACGGAGCGCTCGTGCGAGTAGAAGTCGCCGTCCTTCATGCTCCGCACGACCGTCTTCGAGCTTGCATCCCACTTGCCCATGGAGTGCGGGTATCGGAACGCGTACTCCTTCACCGGCACCGCCGCACGCCGGTCGGAGTTGCCCTCCCTCAGCACCGGGTTGACCGCGCTCCCGAGGACCTTGCCGTAGGAGGCCTTGATGCTCTTCTCGCGGTCGTCCTTGGGCTCTTCAGGGTAGTCGGGCACGGCGAACCCCTTGTCCTGCAGCTCCTTGATGCACTCCTTCAGCTGCGGCACGGAGGCGCTGATGTTCGGGAGCTTGATGATGTTCGCCTTCCCACTCTGGGCCATGAGGCCGAGCTCGGTCAGGGTGTCGGCCGTCTTCTGGTCCTCCTTGAGGCAGTCAGGGAACTGCGCAAGCACGCGGCCTGCGACCGAGATGTCCTTCAGCTCCAAGGCGACGCCCGCGTGTCCGCAGAATGCCTTCACGATTGGAAAGAAAGCGTGCGTGGCGAGCATCGGGGCCTCGTCCGTGTACGTGTACATGATGGTCGTAGGGTCGCCACCTGGCGCCGCGGAGCCCTTCGACTGGGAGCCTCCCATGGTTCTCTGGTCAGTGCGTCGCGAAGGAAAGAACTGGACCGAAATGCGCTCGAGCCAATACGACTACGGAGGAGAACAGAAAGATCAATCTATGTATATGTCTGACTATCTGCCTGCCTATATATACACACCCATGTGTATTTCCATATAGATATATAACAATGTATACAACTGCATACTTGTTTGCACACATCTCTGTGTGCAAACATATAAGTGTACATACATATATATGAATCGATCTATGTATGCACATACATACATGAAATTGTACATACATGCACACATATCGCTATATGTGTATATATGTATAGGTGTCGAACTGTACACATCTATATATATGTATCGATGCACATATACACATGCATCCCCAATTCGAAAGTGTTGTCCTCTTCCATGGGGACGCACGGATCCATTTAGATCCAATTACGTGTGTGCGAGAGTCACGTGAATCCAATGTCCGTGCCTTCTGGATCCAATTGTTTGGCGTGGAAGCTTTGTGGATCCAATTCTTTTCCTGGAATGAATTTATAATACTAACTAATACAAGGGACCCAAAGAGACTTGGACCTGCAGCCAAAGCTATGATTCTACGGGGGAGGGGTTTCCCTACCGAGGAAGGAGGCGGACGAGGAGGGAGGACGGAAGAGGCGGATGAGGGAGGAGGGAGGAGGAGGGAAAACGACCGCGGTGCCCAAGTCGGGAGCTCGAGCGCCACAGCGGGCCTGGCCACCTCTCCGAACCCCTCCCATAACATGTCGGTGCTCGAGCGCCACAGCTGCCCCGGCCAACTCACGCAGCCTCCATAACATGTGGGTGCTCGAGCGCCACAGCGGGCCTGGCCAACTCCCGCAGCCAACCATAACATATGCCGCACCCCTCCAAGACGCGAGCGCGATATGATCGCAGCGTCCGCGTCCGCTAAAGTCAACGACACTTCGTGTTTGTCATGCGGGCCTCAAGAGGAACATCCTTCCGCCTGCTCAAATATACCGACTGAGCTATATATGATCCCGGGCTCTGGGCCCACGGGCCCCCCCCCAGATGGTATGGTCCCAGGATTTCTCGGACCCCCCCCCTCCCCCCAGATGGTATGGTCCCAGAGACGATGACGACGACGACGACGACGACGACGGCGACGACTACGACGACGGCGACGACGACGACGACCACGACGACGACGACGACGACGGCTGCGGCGGCGACGACGCCGGCGGCGGCGGCGGCGACGACGACGATGACGACGATGACGACGGCGACGACGACGATGACGACGATGACGAAGACGACGAGGAAGACGAGGACGACGAGGACGACGACGACGATGGCGACGACGACGACCTCTGAACCACCACAGCACCACACCACATCCACAGGGGGGGGGAGGGGGGCACCGCAGCGCAGCACCACGCCACGCCCACCTCTGAACCACCACAGCACCACACCACATCCACAGGGCGGGGAGGGGGGCACCGCAGCGCAGCACCACGCCACGCCCACAGGGGGGGGCGGGGGGGACCATCGCGCGGGGGGGGGGGCCCAATGGCATCAGCATTGGGGGGGGGTCCCAAGCCCTGGACCATATCCATCTATCTATCTATCTATCTATCTGTATGTATGTATGTATATGTATGTATGTATATGTATATTATATATATATATATATATATATATATAATATTCCTCTTCCTATATTTTTACAAGCCCGGGGGGGGGGGGGGGGGGAAACCATCACCCCCCCCAAAAAAAACTGGATCCCCGGGATCTGGGGTCTTCGGGCTCCTTGGGACGTCCTTGGAAAAAGTCACCCGGCTTTCCGGGCCTCCTCAAACGCCTTGCCAGCATACCCAGAGCGATCAGAGGGGTCATCTGAGATGCTCAAGGGAGGCCCCAGACAGCACAAGAGCGCTCCAAGAGGGACTCCAATTGCTTCAGGACGGCCCAAAAGACCCCCAAGGCACCTCAAAAAGCTTCCCAAGAGGCTTTCAAAACGCAAAAACCGTCCCATTCCCTTCGTAAAACGTACAATTATAGCATATTCGCCTTTCGGTTTTCATCAGCTTCCAAGACGGCTTCAAAGCCCCCGAGATCGCCTCAAGACGCCCCAAAAGGCCCCCAAGAAAGCTTCAAGACGGCCGAGCCGGGCCCCACGATCGCCCACGAGAGCCCCAAGACAGCCCATAATGGGCCCAAGAGGCCACCCAAGGGCTCCCAGCACAGACCCAAAAGGGCCATGGGAGGTCCCCGGAAGTGCCCAAGATGGGTCCAAAGGGGCCTCCAGCGGGCCCAAGCTCCCCAAGACGGCCCAAGAAGGCCCCAGGACGGCCCATGAAGGCGCCAAAACGGCCCATGAGGGCCCCGAAAACACCCCCACGATGTTTCCGAATGCCAACATAAAGACCCCCAAGGCACCCCAAAAAGCTTTCCAAGGGGCTTCAAACCACAAAAATCGGCTCACCCCTGTCGTAAAACTTACAATTTTAGCATATTCGCCTTTCGGATTTCAGCAGCTTTCAAGACGGTTTCAAAGCCCCCGAGATCGCCTCAAGACGCCCCAAAAGGCCCCCAAGAAAGCTTCAAGACGGCCGAGCCAGGCCCCACGGTCGCCCACGAGAGCCCCAAGACAGCCCATAATGGAACCAAGAGGCCACCCAAGGGCTCCCAGCACAGACCCAAAAGGGCCATGGGAGGTCCCCGGAAGTGCCCAAGATGGGTCCAAAGGGGCCTCCAGCGGGCCCAAGCTCCCCAAGACGGCCCAAGAAGGCCCCAGGACGGCCCATGAAGGCGCCAAAACGGCCCATGAGGGCCCCGAAAACACCCCCTCGATGTTTCCGAATGCCCACAGAAAGACCCCCAAGGCACCCCAAAAAGCTTTCCAAGGGGCCTTCAAACCACAAAAATCGGCTCATTCCTGTCGTAAAGCTTACAGTTTTAACATATTCGCCTTTCGGATTTCATCAGCTTTCAAGACGGCTTCAAAGCTCCCGAGATCGCCTCAAGACGCTCCAAAAGGCCCCGTAGAAAGCTCCAAGACGGCCGAGCTGGGCCCCACGATCGCCCACGAGAGCCCCAAGACAGCCCATAATGGGCCCAAGAGGCCCCCCAAGGGCTCCCAGCACAGACCCAAAAGAGCCATGGGAGGTCCCCGGAAGTGCCTAAGATGGGTCCAAAGGGGGCTCCAGCGGGCCCAAGCTCCCCAAGACGGCCCAAGAAGGCCCCAGGACGGCCCATGAAGGCGCCAAAGCGGCCCATGAGGGCCCCGAAAACCCCCCCACGATGTTTCCGAATGCCAACATTCATTGATTTTGCTCCCATGACATTTCACATTGTGACCCAGTCGTTGAGGGTCTCGTGGCATGCAGCGAAGATGCCCGAGGATGCCCCGTACGAGTCGCATATGCATGTTCATACCCTTACACACATAAATTTATGTGTACATATTACGCTGTTTACACACATGCAACAATGTCAGTAAATTGTATACACTTAAACAGATATACGGAACGTGCATGCACGTGCGCGTGTATACATGCATGCGCGCATGTACGCACGCACGCATCCCGCTTGCGTGCAGAACTCAAAGGACCAAGGTGCATGGCGCGCATCGCCAATGCAGTCTTGTATATTCCTCTTCCTATATTTTTATAAGCCCGGGCGGGGGGAAAACCCGTCACCCCCCCCCCCAAAACCGGACTCCCGGGACCTGGGGCTTTGGGGCCCTCTGGACGGGCTTTGAAGCGGCCACCGGGCCTCGCAAGGCGTTTTGCCAAGCCTTCCCAGCACACTTAGGGCGATCAGGGGGGTCATCGGAGACGTCCCAGAGACCCCCAAGACAGCACAAGAGCGCTCCAAGAGTGACCGACGTGACCTCAAGATGGCCCAAGAGGCCTCCAGGACGGCCCCAAAGAGGCCTCCAAGAGCACTCCCAAGAAGGCCCCCCGAGGCAAAAATCATTGATTTTCTGTGGGTTTTCGGTGAATTATGGGGTTCTCCTCTTTTCGGCTTCCCGACGCTCCAAGACGGCGGCCTTCTGGGCGTCCGAAGCCGCTTGGGAGGTTCCCAAATCGCCCCACAACCATCCGAAAAATCTTCCAGGCAGTCCAAGAAAGCCCCAAAACGGCACAACACGGGTCCAAGATGGCCCTCAGAGAGCCCCATGGCGGCCCAAGATGGCCCAAAGACACCCTCCGAAGAATTCCAAATCGTGATTCGGTCGTTCAGGGAGACGGCGGTTGGAGGCAAGGTGGCCCGAGGAAACCCCGGGAGGCCCCCAGAATACGCCCAGGAGGCCTCCAGAAGGCCTTAAGAAATCGCCCACGAGAGCCCCAAGACAGCCCATAATGGGCCCAAGAGGCCCCCCAAGGGCTCCCAGCACAGACCCAAAAGGGCCATGGGAGGTCCCCGGAAGTGCCTAAGATGGGTCCAAAGGGGGCTCCAGCGGGCCCAAGCTCCCCAAGACGGCCCAAGAAGGCCCCAGGACGGCCCATGAAGGCGCCAAAGCGGCCCACGAGGGCCCCGAAAACACCCCCACGATGTTTCCGAATGCCAACATTCATTGATTTTGCTCCCATGACATTTCACATTGTGACCCAGTCGTTGAGGGTCTCGTGGCATGCAGCGAAGATGCCCGAGGATGCCCCGTACGAGTCGCATATGCATGTTCATACCCTTACACACATAAATTTATGTGTACATGTTACGCTGTTTACACACATGCAACAATGTCAGTAAATTGTATACACTTAAACAGATATACGGAACGTGCATGCACGTGCGCGTGTATACATGCATGCGCGCATGTACGCACGCACGCATCCCGCTTGCGTGCAGAACTCAAAGGACCAAGGTGCATGGCGCGCATCGCCAATGCAGTCTTGTATATTCCTCTTCCTATATTTTTATAAGCCCGGGCGGGGGGAAAACCCGTCACCCCCCCCCCAAAACCGGACTCCCGGGACCTGGGGCTTTGGGGCCCTCTGGACGGGCTTTGAAGCGGCCACCGGGCCTCGCAAGGCGTTTTGCCAAGCCTTCCCAGCACATTTAGGGCGATCAGGGGGGTCATCGGAGACGTCCCAGAGACCCCCA